TAGATAAGCTTCCAGTGTCTGAGTATCATTTATTTTGAAAATGTAAGGAGCAATTTTTTCACCTTGTTCTTTCTTCAGAATACTTCTAATAGTATTATAATTCTTGGGTTCCATGGTAAATTAGCTTCATATTAATCATTTGTATCTAGACAAATACACAGGCAATACAATTGTGATGTTAAACAAACCTGAAATCATTGGTAAGACCAATGTTCGCTTTGTCTGGTTTTGTTGCAGTCTGCCCATATAAGGTATAATTTTCAAACAGGCCATTATTATAGAAATTTAATCAAGAAATTCATTATAGAGCAAGTTTTTTAAATAGTAAAAATCAGGCTTCAATTCTCAGTTCGTTATAGAGTGAAGGCTGTTACAGAAAAGGCAGTCATAGAGTGAGTTAATTACAGTCATACAGCTCTCTATAATATTACTATATATAATAAATCCAGGCTGGAATCTTGTCCCAATTTTTTACTACTTGAAATCTCTTTTTATAACAGATATTATTAATTAAATTTTGTATAACGTATACCGGATTGCATCTGAAAACCATAAATCAACACTGTCTATAACGGATTCACGTGATCTAAAAATAAAACTCGAAATAAAAATCTTAATAAATAAATAATAATAAGAAATGATATAATATACAAAAAAAAAAATGAATGAATTTCTTGATTTAAATCCACCTAATTCAAGTTCTAAATTAATTTATTTTTAAAATGTGAAAATTTTGATAACTGATTTAAATTAAATGGTTTTTTTAATATTAACATTGAATAGTATTTTTTTTTATGTAACATTTTTGTTTCGTCATATTAACATTGCACGTGACTTCATACATGTAATGATTGACGATTTGTCTTAACTATAATAATAATTTATTATAACCCAACGATCCGTTATAGATAGATTCGTTGATAAACTGATATCAAATACATAAAATCAATATTAATATGGACAAAATTCAAATTCAATCTCCTCCATAATTACCCAATAAACATTCGTTGAAAATTGGCATGAGGGTAGTTCATAACCTATATTTTAAAATTAGTGACGATTTTCTGATTTTTTGATTACTAAAAAGTTTTGCTATGCTTGATTATCAACAATTTTTTAAAATAAATGAAAATGAAAAAATCTAAAAAATCAAAGCACTACAAGTGATAGGACTTTTTATTTTTTATGGGTACTAGAGGGTCTAGCACCAAATCATTGTAGATCATTGTATGATATAATGATTTCCTGACAAATGCACATATATAGTAATTTGTTTAATTATGTACAATAACAAAAAACGAGAGAATTTCAAAAATTCCCTTTTTTTAAAAAAAATAATAATAAAGGAAGTGCAGTTTTTTGCAACATAATGTTTACCTTGTTACTGACTGACCTAACTTAACTTTTCATTCCTTCTTTACTCCCAAAATTATATCGAGTGTGGAACTAATCCATTGTTGCACATTTGTTACATTAACTTTCCTTGTTTTTCAAATTTAAAAAAATAAAGAATTGACTTATTTAATTTCTTTGTTCTTTCAAAACTTGAAATTTGTCAAAGTTTCCCAGAAAAATTAAAACTTCTACCTATATTTATTTAAATTTTCCTTTTTCCCCTTTGATGTAAATTTTTGTACAACAATAATTTGAAACAATTTCAATAATATTAAATAATAATATATTACTTATTATTGTTGTCTTCTATAAATAAAATTCTATAAATACTTTCATTTTATGCATTTTTCTTATTCACCTTTTTTTCTTTTCGCTCCTCCCTTTTTAACAACAATATATTAATACCGTTTTTGCAATTTTTAACAAAAAAAAAAATCTTCTTCACCAGATTCACCAGATTCACCAGATTATTTTACTATCACAGGCTTACATAGTTAAATAAATAAAAAATAATAAAAAAAAAAGGTCGTCTCCGCTAACGACTACACGACGCCGTTCTACATCATCAATCATTATAGTTGATTCTGGTGAAGAAGATTTAACAAAATCTCTTTTAGCTCCTAAAACTCCTAATATCATTTCAAAACGCCGTGGATCGGTCGTTTCTATTAATTCGCCTACTTCTACAACATTTTCAATTAAAACGAAAACTGCCGCCACTAAAATTGCCGCCAAACCAACGGAAATCGCAATAATCGATAATAGTGATAAAGATGATCCTGCTGAAGATGTCTTTCATGATGATTTAATTTTCAACAATCAATTTCATGCTTCTAAATCAAGAAATTTAAATCACTCACGTTCATTATCTCAACCAATCAGAGCTTTATCTACTTTAAAGTCTTCAAAATCTATGAAGATTAATAACAATGATAATTATTTAATATCACCCACTATTAATTATGATACTCATTCAACATATAAAATGCGTACAAAATTAACATCTCAAAAACTATCAAATTTCTTTGGTACAAAACCTCCAATTGATATTTGCGTAAAAGAAATAGAA